CACTGCATTATCGATCAACCATTATCATTGGAATAGCTTCAAATAATTTCAGTATATAAAATCTCCAAGTAGACCTTGGATACATGGAAACAGAGCGTAAACATACTCCATTTGGCATTGCTTACAGTCAGTCAATATCCGGCAAAGTACGCCCCTTGTGTTTTTTCACCTTGTACCGAGTAATTCAATACAATACGTGCATAGCGCGTGTCTTTCTCGTCGCTATACATGTGAAACTTACAAACTAGGTACTTGTGCCATTTTAAAAGTTCCAATACAATTCAGTTCAATTGAATTCCGTTCTCATTGTCATACAAACTATATATATACACGTACTTTCATATCATCTTTATCATCCGTATGATTGTTTAAAATTTTATAAAAAAAAAATAGAAAATGTTTTTTCATAGTCGTTCAAATATATTGAATTAGTCGTTGTGTTGTGTACTAGTATTGATCACCCGCGATATCAGGGGTAAACTCGCTTCGCACTCTGCACCCCTGGAATGTGTCATAGCAAAATCAAAGGCTCGGTGTTCGTGCTGTACATCAAAAGAATCATGCGGTCGCGTAACGGTAAAACTTACTGGCTTTGAAGTCGGGAGTCGCTCCTCTGTGATCTTCAAAGAACAGGTATCAGCTTAGTGATTGGTCAGGATTTTGTACCTGAGACCAATCAAATAGCTAGCAGCGTGCCTTCAATTTTGCTATGACATATTCCAGGGGTGTAGAGAGCGTAAGTGAGCGTAACCCCTGGATATCGAGGATGTAATATTGATCTAAAACGGTTTTTTCCTGTATTCAGATAGTAACTGTCTTCCTATGAAAGTCATCCTCAATTTGCAGGCTGTTACGGTGTAATCGGACGTACTCGGGCCTTTCCGACTTAGCCCGTGGTTTTTCGTGCTCGCCGGAAAGGTCGGAATCACTCATTTCTTTTTAAATTGCTGACAGTTCGTAATTAATTATTTATGATTAAATACATATAACATAGAATTATTATAAATGGTTGTATTTTTTGATGGAATGTTGTTGTTTTTTGGACAAAAATAAGTTATCTGCATTTTCAAATATAAATGTTTCCGACCAAGATGTACGCTCTTCATTAACGGCAGTGAAATACCCTTGCGCTAGTTGACCCGGTATGTGAAGCATGGCGATATGGTCTCCAAATAATTCATGATTGTCAAAATTAGATACAGGAAGCCATGCATGCTCTTCGTCGCACAGATAGAAACAGAGATATTGCAACATTCATGTTATACGTGTTACAAGCAGAAACCATAGCAAGCACTTTATGATCCGGCGCTAATGTCGTCATGGGAATTCCGTATTACCGTCGTAACTATACACCGTGCCAGTACGTTCACCCGTAAACACAAACAACCAGTACGTTCACCCGTAAACACAAACAACCAGTACGTACACGTGTTACGTCCGAAGATACTCCAGTCCTCCACATCCAATAGAAGTTGTATTTGTTGTTTGAACTTACGTACATATTGTACACCGGGAATGTTTCGCCGTGGTTTAGTTTTCGCCTTTTTCGCTCACCTTCTTGAGGGCGATTTTTTCATTAGGGCAAACATTAGCAAACAACGTAACATGCGAAATTAACACCGGGCTAATATGGATAATTCTTGCGATTGGCGAAAGTTTGACTGGGCGAAAAATTCCTGGTATATTGTTTATTGTGTAACACGAAAGAGAACAATGCTTTGTTCGTATGTATAGGTTTTTATACATTTGTTACACGCTCCTGTTGCCAGACCGGGATTCGAACCCGGGACCTCTTCATTCTAGTCGGAAGTTCTATCTGGTCGCTGACCCAGTCCAGATCAGCTTCGATTGTAAATACATATATGTACATGTAGTTGTAGTTATCAACCGATAGGTTGAAGAATTAGGACGAACTCCAACGCCTAAAATGCCAGTATGTTAGTTAATTACACCATTTCCGTTCTAAATCTGTAGAACTAAATCACCAACAGTTGTCTTTGTACTCCAGTGCAAAAGGAAGACATTGCGGATGATCAGCAAGCCATTAACAACACGTTGATTTGTATCATTGACAGGTGATTGTTTTATTGATAAGACAAAAAGTCGAACTTTAAAAATTATTTTATATCCTTTTATTAACCATATTAACACTTAATCACACGGCATTGCAGACAATACAAAGTCTGTTAGAGCACTGAAGATCTGCAAGTTCTATCAAATATGGTCGCCTTTATCATGATATACACTTGTTCGCGGTGGACGTGTATAGGCTATATTCTTACTATAGGTATTAAATACCGGCCTCATTGATAGAATGTCGATCTACTGTGGTTAAAGAGCATGTATATACCTTCCATCAGGTCAACAGTATCGAGTGAGCTTCATTCTCTGATAATGATGGCTATTTCATTGTATCTTTATTTGTTAAATCTACACGATCACGCAGGGTTTCCTCCAGAAAGTATGACCAAGACAAACATTTTCTGCAAGTATTTGACAGAAACACAGACTCGTTCGAGGTAGTCTCATTATTGACCATTGTATGAATATTGATCATTATGGGTCGAAAGACTCGAGGTGATCAAGAACTTGAACTTATCCGTTCAGAAATCAGGTCACTAGAGTTATGGCAAATAGTTTTTATTGATACGGTGACCTTGACATCGATACCCCGAAATGCAAAATCGTTTCAGGTATTCTCATACTTGTCCATTGTTTAAATTTCGATAATAATCCCTTCAGAAATGGAATCGCTGGAGCGACGACAATTTTATTTCTATACACACTGATTGCAATTATTGCCGTAAGCTCATGAAACACAGTCTCTTTTGTCTATCAAAATTTCTATCAAAATCCTTTCAGAAATGAAGTAAATAGAGTGGTGTGACTTTCTATAAATAGTAACGGTGACCTTCAGCTTAACCTTGGTGCACTTTTCTATGTATAAAGTTTTATAAAAAAGAAAGCTAGACAAATTTTCCATGCATCGAGGGTATACTAAAATAGACATACATATTTCGAAAGATACCTTCTGAACAAAAAATGAAGCAGACTTATTCACATTAGTATTTTTTTAACAAGTAAGGTATATGACATTCGCGACTAGTCGACTTTAATCGTCTATTTTCATGGTAGGTGAAGCTCTTGTCTTTCAAAAATGATGACAGCGTAAGAACAGTTCCCATGGAAACACGTTTAATTACAAAAGACGTGTCAGGATTTCTCAAATTCAAGAGTTCACCAGCCATTTTACTGTCGGTCGATCATTTCAGTGAATGTAGTTCACAGAACATCGGAAACATATTCTAAAACGTCAATCTAATTCCCATGTTAAAATATTGAGTTGTGCTATTCTATATCATAGACACATACAGCGCAATCATAAAGACATAAAAATCATTTTGAGCAAAACCTGGGGTCGTATTCATGAAACATATCTCATGCTCAAACTTAGATTCTGTGCTCAAGCCAGCTTTCTTGTTCCCGTAATAAATCAATAAAAAAAAATCTTTCGTCAAAGACTTTAGTGAGCCAAAAGCTGAATACTTTTTTCAATTTTACCACCTGACTTTCACCGTGTTACATGTTAATTTAAGAGCATTAGAAGAAATAGAACTTGAGCAAAGATTTCGTGTTTGAGCATAAGAATGGTTTCATGAATACGGAATCCAGGCATAATACAAATACTATTACTGGTCGTCAATGCTAAGAGCTTAGATAACAACACATTGCCACGATGAGCCATGCTAACATATAACAAAACAGCATGTACCCCCTAAAACATATAAGATGAATTGTAGTTTGTAAGAGACACACAGTATAATGTTGTTAACGATAGGTTTAATGCACAAAGGATACAGGAATATGTAATGTGTTTCATAAATTTAAAAATAGGTCTATGTCTATCTGGGCTAAGTTGGCTAGCTAAAATACACGTCTTATGCTCAAGCATAGATTCTGTTCTCAAACCGACTTTCTTGTAACTTTGAAAACGGAATTCGCCTCAACTCTTTCAAAAATTCGTTCAGATCATGGCAAAACGTAAATTTTGATACGTTATCACTGGAATAAGAAGCAGAGCCTGTGCACAAAATCAGAGTTTAAGCCCGAGAACGGTTTCATGGGACCAAGATTTTCACCTATCTGGAAATCAATGTTACTATGGCAACTGTTTGTATGCTGTCATCAGTATTGAAAGACAAGAGTTTCACCTACCTTGAAAATTCTGTTGCCATGGTAACGATTGTTATGCTGTCATGATGATTGAAAGACGAAAGTTTCACCTATGTTGCCATGACAACCGTTCTTATCCATCATCATTTTGGAAAGATTAATTGCTTTTTTTAACTAACTAATCTGACCTATAAACTGTACCAATGCCACCTAAATTATGTCCCTCGTTTACCAGTTACAATTGCATCGATCAACGATTTGAATGTGGCAATACAAAAAATATATGTCCCACATAAGAATGTTTTTGAATAATTAGGCAAATTGCGTCCATCATAATGCCACATGCCTAAAATAATAAAATTTCCTTGTGGTCTGTGAATTATAATTCTACATGCCTAATATAATAAAATTTCCTTGTGGTCTGTGAATTATAATTCCACATGCCTAATAGAATAATATATCTTGTGGTCTGTGAATTATAATGTCACATGCCTAATATAATAATATTTCCTTGTGGTTTGTGAATTATAATGTCACATGCCTAATATAATAATATTTCCTTGTGGTTTGTGAATTATAATGTCACATGCCTAATAGAATAATATATCTTGTGGTCTGTGAAGTATAATTCTACATGCCTAATATAATAATATATCTTGTGGTTTGTGAATTATAATGTCACATGCCTAATATAATAATATTTCCTTGTGATCTGTGAATTATAATGGCACATGCCTAATATAATGATATTTCCTATTGGTCTGTATATAATGACAACGACACTTGTCAAACAGAACATAGTCTTGTAGTCTTCACGTGTTTTGCATTTATACTGCGTATGCCTTGATCTTAGACGTGTTATTATTGGCGATGTACAAGTTACCATTGTTCGAACTGTAACATATTCCACGTGGTTTTATAACTCCGTCACTTCCGGCGAAAATCGGACCTCCCTCCTTTCCGCCCGGTTCAACCCTGTGTACATTTGATGTTTCCTTTGCGCAGACATATATATTTCCGGATCTGTCTACTGATATACCGGTCGGACACCCCATATCACGTGCTCTGTAAATGAATTTTAACTGGCCGTCTGTACCGAGAGCAATGACGCAATGCAAAGCTGAATCTGTGACGTAGAGCTCCGTGCTCATACTGTTACAAGTGATGTGTTGTGGGGCGGTGAACCCTACGCCTTTCACCGGAACAACTACTCCCCTCCTCGAGTTATCATCTAGGCAAAGCCTTAAAATGTAAGGGTTACCCATCCAGGGGTCGCAAGTGACGAACAAGCTCTTATCACAATAGACCACACCCCAACACTCCCCCGTGCACGGTATATTTTTCACATGAACCAGTTCGTTGGTCGGTACCATTTTTTGTTGTTTTTTCCCATTATCCTTTGTATTTTTGTTGTTTTTCTGCTCCTTCATAACGGTGATCATTTTAACAATTTTTACCATTTTCTCGCCCGGAAGAGTGACAGCAAAATGCAAGTCGGGTAAAATTGTTAGATCCCAAGGCAATGTTAGAAATGTGAAACTAGTTGATGCTCTTAACTTCCTGTCATGCACCTTGAGTTCCGAGGCACATCTGTCGATAATAGCCAGGTCACCTGATGGGAGACAGCCAATGGCCGTGATGAAAAACGCCTTTTGAGAGTCGTACGGGTAGGGAACAAATGTGTTAACACTTTGAGCGCGTACGGGGGGAGGGGAGGGAAGCCTAAGAGGTTCCGCTATACCAAAACCTCCGTTTGTGCCCGAAGACAGAGACGAATTGGAGGAACTTGATCCAGAGCTCGAAAGACTTACAGATCGGAAAGAGTCTGGCCTCTCTGAGATCACCGAGTCGCCACTCGTTGATGGCACTGACTTCAATACCTTCTGCATAGCCATAATTCCCGTGACTTTAGAGACAGCTTTGACCTTCGCACGGAATTTCCCATTTATTTCGAGCACCAGGAAAGGGGGTAACCGGAAGTATGTGTCTACCTGTTTGACCTCTCCAATTGGTGTCACGGATTTAGAATTACTTCCGTCTTGTTGTGGCAATGTCAACGTATAGTCGTGGTTTTGTATGGCATCGTATATTTCTTTTAGAAATCGTTCATAAACCGTCTGCTTATTGCTTATCCTGACGTAGGCCTTCAAGAACTGAGAAGGGGATTTTTCGGAGTCGTCTTTGAACATTTCTTTCATTTCCTCGGCATCTGCTTTTGTCATTTTCTTGAGATTTGTAAGCCTTTCTTTTTCTTGTGAGAGTTTTTTCATATTACGTACATGCATACTCTTAAACTCCGCCAGATTTATTTTATCAACGTCATTTGTCTCTTCGTCAGACCTTTCTCTTACCGCCATTACTTGTTGTAAAATCTCTTCTCGTTTTTTCTCGAGAATTTCCGTTTCCGTAACGCGATCTTGGTACATTATTTCGGCGAACCTATGGTATTTCTTAAGCGCGGCAACGAGATCGAAAAGGTCTCGCGAGCTTTTCTTGGAACTGGCAACATCAGCAACTGGAGTGAAATTGACACAGTTTTTATGGTCCTTGGCCTTACACAGGTCACACAGAACGGTCTGATGTTGCTCACAGAACAGCTCGTTCTCCATCTCCATCTGAGCATGATCGTGCTTGTGTTGAAGATCATCCATATAAGAGGGTTTGTCTCCTTCGTCCTTGTTCCAGCGTTTTTTCTTGTCCTTGGCTTTCTGTCGTACTGAACTCACCTGCGAGGAAAGCACTGACCTGATGCTTTCCTTGGTCTCATCGGTCAGGGACATGTACGAGTGTTTTTGCGCCCAAGATTGAGCGCGGTGGAGCTTGGTACAATTGTTACAAAATGGCTCCTTGCAAGTGACACAGAGAAGTGTTGCTTTGATACTCATACGTACCTCCTGACAAGGTCCGCACAGAACCTCGAGACTATCTCCCTCGCTATCCATCGTAATGTACAATAGGACACGCTGTCGATAAAGTATATGGCTCCAATACACTGTCTCCCTAATTGCTATTGTTTTAGATCAACTTAAGACGTTGTTTCATTGTACAGCAGCAAGTTTCACGAATTCCAGACGATGCATACTGTAGACATGTTGATGCGTCACCAATCACGCGCAAACGTTGTTGCTAACCACACGTTCACAGTTTAACGACGTTATCATTGTCGATTATTGTCACTCATTGCCGAAAAACGGAGACACTAGTGTTTGTTACGCAAACGCCCTCATTAACCCACAGTTCCCTGTCTCGGACTGTGACTCTTAAATTTTCGTTTTAGCAGGATGCCTGGAGCGGATTTGTCGAACCGGACCCGTCAGCCTTACCGACTGATTGCTACAGGTACTATGTTTTGTATCCGAGGTTGCAATCGACCACGGTACGATTCCCGTCACGCCTTACCTGTCCGGACCTTACCTGTGCACACCTTACCTGTCTCTATTGTACCTGTATGGTCGATAATGTAGCTACTCAGCGTCTATAATCCGTTAATCGTACCAACCCAGCATAGCTCTGGTTTTCAAACTTCATTATTAACCATTTTTAATTTAGTCCAGGTGTGTCTAAGGCATTCTGTAATTTCCTGAAATAGAACGTCGGTGTTGACGTCGCATTCTGAAATAAATATTACATCAAGTACAAACTGAAATGTAGAACCGACAGAGGTTAGTTTAGCTAGTCAAGCACATCTACTTCGGCTAGACTAACATTAGAATAGACAAGTACAGAAACCTTGGATTACTTACTTCTCTAAATAACAAACCCTTGCTCTGTATCTTAACCGAGTTATCAAATTGAAAAGTTACACTTATTATATATTAAGTATCCATATCAGTCAAATAATAAGCATAGGAAAGAAATCCATATGATAAGTATCCAACATTTATATAGCGCCCTATCTAATTTGAAAAATTACTCTAAAGCGCTTTACCAGATATGGATAATAGTATTAGTTATAATTGTGAAACAAAAACAAAGACTTACAAGCAAGCAGATAATCATCGCAATGTGCACATAAATGAGTGAATATGCAATGAGCCTAAAATGCAGACGTGGAGAGATGAGTTTGAATTTGGCCAGGGTATTTGACTTTCTAATTGCAGATGGTAAGCTTTATTCCACAAAGTGGCCGAAACCCCCCCAAAGCACCGGTTTCCGTAGGTCGCAGTACGAAATTTTGTTACACACAACAAAGACTCTGACTCCGACCGCAGTGATCGTGACGGCTAATACATGGTAACAAGCTCCTGCATATGCATGTTTACCGGTTGCAGAGTTTCAAATAGTTCAGAATATGCCAAATCTCACAAACGACCCAACACCGTAAGCAATAAACGAAGTTTAGGGTAAAGTCTTAGTTAATATGTAGCAAGATTGGCACATTAGGGAAACGCAAAATAATACACGGTACAATTATTTTATGAATCAGTTAAGCTGTCCGATAGCCTGAACACACTCAGACTTTGGTTTTCCCCAGACTAATAGACATCCTTACCTATACTATTCCACAGACTAATAGACATCCCTACCTATAATTTTCCTCTGACTGGTCGACACCCCTCCCTACAGTTTTCCCCAGACTGGTAGATATCCCTCCCCACAGTTTTCCCCAGACTGGTAGATGTCCCTCCCTACAGTTTTCCCTTGTCTGGTAGACACCCCTCCCTATATTTTCCCTAGACTGGTAAACATCCCTCCAAACAGTTTTTCCCAGACTGGTAAACATCCCTCCATACAGTTTTCCCCAGACCGGTAAACATCCCTCCATACAGTTTTCCCCAGACTGGTAGACATCCCTCCCTATAGTTTTCCCCAGACTTGTAGACATTCTCTACCTGTGTAGTTGTTTTCAGTTGGATAACACTTTAAAGACTTGTAGACATTATCTACCTGTGTAGTTGTTTTCAGTTGAATAGCACATTTGAATCCTTTTCTTTATATATCAATATATATACCTTGCGTAGGATTCTTCTGGTTGTCGCAAGAAGTGACTTATGTGGTCCATGCAGAATAGGCAGTTTTCTTGGGTGCCCTCTGCTGAGAGAACATTGAAAAGACCATTAATGACCTGCTGCCCCCCCCCCCCCCCCCCCCCCCCCCCCCCCCCCCCATTTTAACGCTCGTGGTATGTATTTCTGTCTGATCTGTTGTTGTCATCCCCGGCATGACCTCAGCTGTTGCGATGATGTTTTACCACAAATAAAACAAAACAAAATGCAATGCATTGCTTTTTTATCTCGTTACGAATGAGGTCGATCGATCGATTGACTGATTGATCGATCGATTGACTGATTGATCGATCGATCGATCAAGATTGATTGATTAATTAATTGATCGACCGACTGACTGACTGACTAGTTGGTTGGTCGGTTGGTTGGTTGATTGATTGATTGATTGATTGATTGATTGATTGATTGATTGATTGATTGATTGATTAATTGATTAATTGATCGACCGACTGACTGACTGACTGACTAATTGATTGATTGATTGATTGATTAATTTGATTTGATAAACCCAAATTGATCACGCTGTATGTGAGATATGTAACCACGTCAAATAACAACCAAGTTTGTCTAGTTCTATAGACTTTGAGCAGATTGTATAACTCTTGATTAATTAAAAAAAGAAATACCAATGCTTTGTTTGTGTGACAAAAGGCGAAAGCCTGTCTGTCGTTGTTGAAGGTAACGAGATCAGAACATTTCCTAGATCAAAGAGCACAAACCATCTTTTATTGGAATTATACAAGACAAACATTATTTCCCATTCCTTACATAATTGATCCTGGAAGATGAGTCTACTAGTGGATAGGCTTCACTATTTTTAAAGAAGGTCGTCAAGTGTGTCTAGGTTGGAACAAAACATGGAATATTCTGAGATAAGTCTTATCTTATCTGCGACACACGTATATAGGGTAGTATGCAAATATAACGTAGCATAAATAGTATCAGAAACAAATCTTCAGAACCATGTTTCATTTTGTATGAAGGATTGTGTGATATTTTATTTATTGGCTTGTCTAAACTAGATGACACTTTGGTTACGTTTTGAACCTCCAACAAAACTTTTGTTTTGCTCTACTTATTGAGAGTCCCAAGTTAGGAATACATTTACTGTAGGGTGAAGCATTTTGAAGAAACACCAACTCATCAAACATGAAGAAACGAAAGGTAGAGTAGACTAGAGTAATAGAGTCTAAGCAAATGTAATATTAAAGAAATATTTAGTTTTCAAAATGTATTTTTTTTTTCGTTTTAAAGTCTTGGTTGGTGACATGTCTACTAAATAGATTTAATAATTCAGAAATGATTTTAATGCAAGTTTTGCCACCACAGGAGTTTGAAATAATCAAGACTGCAGTAGTTCATTCTAAATTAGACACTTGAGTCATATTGTAGAGAAATTACATTGACACAGATAGTGACGGTTGTGTCACATAAATGTAAACTGTTGATACAAAATTGTCTCTTCTGTCTTGTCTTTACTTTCATTAACATTTTCATTAAATGTACAGGTGACAACAGCATTGTACATGAGAAAAGAGGGGGCAGCATGGACAAGGCCAGAGAAACCGCTGTTTCCAAATCCAAGAATGCCATGATATCGGCCCTGATGAACGTCCATTTTGCAGCCATCAATGATCTTCCCAATGCTGTTGTAATTTTTGATACTGACCTGAGGAGAAAGCTGATTTTGTTATTGTAAAATAGTATTGTTATGTATTTATATTATTTATTGCTAAATCTGAAAATATAGTATATATGGTATTGATATATGTTGTGGCTTTATTTCTTCACAGTTACAGCAATATTAATTATTGAATGTTACAGTTGGGACTTAATAAAGCCGACCAGCTGGGGTCAAAGGAAGGCGACTGTTAAAAAAAATGGCTACTAAAAAATGCACTTTGCTATTTTTTTGGTTACTGAATTTTTTGGTCCAGGGTGAGCCCTGAGCATTAGATACGGTAAAACCCCGCTAACTCGAACTCGTGGGGTCCAGATCAATAGTTCTAGGAATGCATTGTATTTGATTAATCCAAGGTAAATTCGACATCGACAAGTATCGATCAGGTAGGGCGCGGCAGAATTTCTCGAGCTTTGCTTTTACAAGTCATGGTTGAGAATTTGGGTAATGTTAAATTGTAGAATATTCGCTTACAACGGTTTTACAATTTGCTACATAATTTCCTAAAAAATAAAACGAAATGTTAAGACCTTTTTTTTTTGTAATTTTTTATTTTTTTCCAAATTTATAACAATGCAAATATATCATACATAAACATTATTCCTCTCGCACATTACAATTCATTCATTAAATATTCATTTATAATAAAACTGCATATTAAATGTAAAGACCTTACTAATAATATTTTTTGTCCTTAAATTCAACAAAATATTGCATTTTTACAATGATTTTTAATACAGTTTTGTATAAGTTACATTTATGGAAATTCCATAAGTTCCGAGTTCAAACCGTGGTCTTGACTCGCATTTTGTTATCTCCTGATACAAGTAGAGCTTCCCAATACTATTATACATCTGAATCTCTGAAATCAAAGTGTTTCCTTTGATAGGCTAATGTACTCTGGCTATTTGCTTAATCTAGCAAAACAAGAACACTGACAATGCTTCAATGGATCTTTTGATGATTAAGGTTTTCTTGTCAGTACACAATGACGTGAGTGAATAAGAGTACATGTCCACACAGTTCGATTGTATACATCACAGGCGAAGCTGGGTTTTTTAAAAACCGTAACGAACCCTACTTCGCTAAAAGACATTGATTGGCGATCTGACTGGTCTCTAAAAGACAATACTCAACTATTTTTTAGATAGCAGGCAGAATTATCGATTCAAATTAAACGAGACAGAAGCAACGTGTCTATGCGCCTACCTCACAATGTTGACTCTTTTTTAAATGAAAAAGATGGGAGATACCT